TTCCCACGAGCCAGGGTAGAAAGGAGACCCCAGAATTGAGGGAAAGCATTGAGGCCACCATAAACCAAGTCTCAGGAGACAGTACTTCTTGATGGGTCTGGGCTGGGAGACAGAGGATAGGTGGGCTTCTTGATCCTCAGGTAGAGATGGATTCCCTAGGGTAACTCCCCATCACAGACAAGCTCCTTCACACCGCCCCCCCCCCCCGAATGTTTCCTCTCAGGGTGGGATCTTCTGAAGCTCTGTCCAAGAGAACCTGGAAGAAAGTTAAAGCATTAAGAAGCCCTCGACAAGAATACCCTGTGGCAACTCGTAGGAGGGCACAGCAGCTGGGGAAAACCCTCCCTACACAACATGGGCTCCCTTAATCTGGCATTTCTCTGTATCTAAGTGCCTAGCAGAATCCACTACAATTCTGCGAGTCCATACATTTACTCATGTTGGTAACAGGGACTAGGAACCAAAGGTCTTGAGCTCTGAGTTTGGTGGCTTCCTTGTAGAAAGTCACTTGCTCCTTTTGAACTGTTTCTTCTTCAGAAAAATTAAAAGACAGAAAAATACCTCTGGGTAGAGCTCAGAAAAGCATATCATGATTGTATGAAAGCCCAGTTAACATAAAGTGGCACCCTTTAGTAGTGTAATACCAGCACAGTGCTATTTTTTGAGTTAGCATTGAACACTGACCCTGTTCTCAAAGTTATACTCTTAAGTATAACCCAATGTAAGGATGGAAACAAAAAGCCCACAGGAAATGTGTATATAAATGCTGATTACGTTCATAGCACAGTGAGGAGGTGGGAAGAACAGATAAAATGAGCTTACCACGTCACGAGGAAGGTTAATTAAGAGGATTTTAGGTTTCCCCAATACTCTGTGGAGCAAATCCCCTTAGCTTTGTAAATAGGAGGAAATGAAGGACAGAATAATTGGAAAGAAGGGAATGCCCCCGATGACAACGTCAGGTGTTAGTCACTCAGTCGTATCCAACTCATTGTGACCCCATGGACTGTAGCCCGCCAGGGTCCTCTGTCCATGGGATTCTCCAGGCAAGAATACTGTCACGAATGAGACCAAATCCAGGTGGCACGGCCTTTCCCATTGCCATTCCCACCATCTCTGTAGAGAATGACACCCGGGCTCCTGCTTATCTCCCAGTCGACCTGGGAGGAGGAGGTAAGGAGGTTTATGTGAACAAGGAAGGCAAGAAAAGGGAGTTCAAATGGACCACAGGACAAAATTTTAAAAGTATTGTGCTGAATGTTCAGGAGACTTGAGCACCTCTTTCTTCCGCAAGTGCTCCCTGAAGGTGAACCGCATCAGACCCGTGGAAGGATACAGTCCAAGAGGAACAGATTGTTTCCAGTCCAGAGTACAGGAGCTCAGATCTCACTCTCTGCCACCTTACACCCTAGGGACTCCAGGATTCAGTGGGCAGAGACTAGAAGCTCCTTCGTCCCTTTTCCATAACTTTACTACCCATTGGAGACCCTCTTTGATCTGCAGGTTGGTTGAACGGTGTCAGAACAGAGAATGACCCTCGTGGGGTTTTCCAGGCTCTGGCTCGGGCTCTGCCTTTGGGGGGCTGCTGGGGAAGCCCTCAGTGAAGCTGGAGGACAGGAGGTGCTGCCCAGCTACAGTGCTCTGGGATGAAGATTTGTCTCCCAGCAAAGAGCTGGTCTGTCTGGGCTGACTGTGGGGGAGGGGTGAACCACCAGCAAGGCCAAGAAGGCCTTGCAGCCTAGGTGGCGCTATTTCTCTACTTTTTAGGTCAAGTTCCTCCTGCAGGAACTTCCTCGAGGTCCCTAGTCCTGCTCCTGGTTTGCTGGCTTGCTGCTGTAAACCACCTTATATTATTTTTTTTTCTAAAAATACTCCAAAGCAATTGAAAGAGTCCCTTCTCCCACCAGCCAGCCCTGGCCCCAGCCCCGGCCCCGGGGAGCGGGCGGGTAGGCGGGGAGGTGGGCCACTGCTTTATTAAACACAGGGAAAACTAATATTTACGGAATAAAATTTATGGAGCAGCCACGAGAATTCGACCCTTTTATGTGCATGCGGAGTGGGGGTTGGGCCAGGCTGGGGGCCTCAGGGAGGGGCCCAAGCCAGGGGGCAGGGCTGGAATACAGCCTGGCTAGGCCAATTTGTCAAGGCAGGGGTTTCCCTGGAGTTGCCCTGGGATGAATGATTTTCAAACACCACCCCTTGCTTTGGGGGGCAAGGGCTTCAGGGCAAGAATGCCTGAGGCAGAGCCACGGGGAACGATGTTTCTCTAAGGATGTGTGTTTGGTCAACAGTCCGATGGGGTCAGCAAGCTTTGGGGATGTAAGGGGTGGTTGGCAGGGAAGTCATTAGGCATATTCTCATTTAACCTTTTTAAAAAGTTACACATTCTTTTGAGAACATGAAAAAAAATATGCTCTTAGGATTTTATTTATAATTTTAGGGGATTTACAAGCCCCTGATCCCCGCTCTGATTAAAAAATGCCTTCTCTTGAGACTGTGCTTTTAGGGCAGAGGGATTACCTACCTAGAGTGAAGAACCCTTATTTTCTTCCAATTTGCTGGGGAAGTCTCTCCATTTTCCATGTGGTCTCATACCTTGAAATCTGTCTATCTATACTACGCCAAGAGAAGCTAAACAACAAAGTGAGTCATCTGATAGATTGTTTTTACATAGTTCCCTATGTACTTCAATGACAGTCACCACCAGGGCAGAGATGGGGGCACTGGCCTGGAGGTAAAGAAACTTATCAGCAGCAACTGGGAATGAGCCATGGTGGAGCTCTCAGACTCTGCGAGCAGGTAAAGGCCTGGGGTAAGTCCTGGAGTCTGCCAAGGCTCCTCCCTTGAAGAGCTAATATGCTCAGTCACTTAATCAGGTCCAACTCTTGGCAACCCCATGGACTGTGGCCTGCCGGTCTGCTCTGTCCATGGGCTTTTTTTTTTTTCCTCAGGCAAGAATACTGGAGTGGGTTGCCATTTCCTACTCCAAGGGATCCTCCCAACCGAGGAATCGAACCTGTGTCTTCCGTCTTGCAGGCAGATTCTTTACCACTGAGCCATTGGGAAAGCCCTGAAGAGCTAACTGGGAGTAGAAAGAACGGGAAAAGAATGGTCACAGCTGAAGACAGAAAACGACTTTACATCCTTCCTGGAAAATGTTTTCAGTGGGGTATATAATAATGCAGTTCAGAACTCAGCAGTCTGGGTTCAAAATCTGGCTGCTACTTATTAGCCGTGTGACCTCTGATAAGCAGGTTTCCCAGGTGGCACCAATGGAAGAGGACCGACCTGCCAATGCAGTAGAAAAAAGAGATGCAGGTTGGATCCCTGGGTTGGGAAGATCCCCTGGAGAAGGAAATAGCAACCCACTCCAGTATTCTTGCCTGGGAAATTATGGACAGAGGAGCCTGGCAGGCCACAGTCTATGCAGTCACAAGAGTCATACATACTTATTGACTAAACCACCATTGCCACTTAGTAGAGTAGCTGGTATACATTAACTGCTTAATCGATGGTAACTGTTTATTGTTGTTGTTATAATCATCATTATTTTATTTTTACTTGGATGGTCCTCTTTCTCCCAAGACTTGACATGCGGACAGAAACACCAGTCCTGTGTGTTTCTCTCTCAGTGCCAAGAGAAGATATGTGACTGAGGCGGCCTTTGACCATCATAAGTAAATAAACCAGAAAAGGCCTCTGTGGGTTCTGCCCCAACCCCCTCCTCTACCTAATAGCTCCCAGTGAACATCTGAGTTCTACTCTCCTTCCTGTCTCTCCAAGGTAAAGATTCAGATGGTCTTACCTATAGAGGAAAACCTAGCAGAGAAGGCCAAGGAGCTTTACGATTGTTGATCTGTTAAATCCTTTTTTTGTTTGTTTTTTTTTGGCTGAGCCATGCAGCTTGTGGAATCTTAGTTCCTCGACCAGGGATTGAACCCCGGGTCGTGGCAGTGCAAGCACCTAGTCCTAACCACTGAACTACCAGGGAAGTTCCAAATTTTGCTAGATTTGTCCAAAAAGTTGACCTTCTAACTGAGAAAGTCTATCTCATACAGGCTTTATATCTTTTCCTGCTAAGCACTATTCATTCTATACGTCAATTCTATTGGTCCCAGAGAACTGTGGCCATTTCCTATTCCCAGTCATCCTATCTTTTCTAGTTCTTCTGTTTACTCTGTTATCTGAAGTGAAGGATGGGACAGCAAAATTCTTTTTCCTCCCACTCCAGGAAACTAACTTGGCCCTAGGGCTCATGGTTCTTTGTCATTTCAATCCCATGTTGTGGTTTAACCTGTTGTCTATGCCTCAGAAACAGATAAAAACACCCCATATCAAGCTGGACCAAGAAGCACAGAAGCCATAGGGCACAAGACTATGGAGAGAGGTTTCAAGATCAATGCTCCCCAGTGGAGGCTTACCACAAGCCACAGAAGAGAAGCATAAGAAGAATCCTGAAGGACTGGACAAGGGCCTAAACTTCAGCCAGAAACATCAGTGGGTTGGGATCCAGTAATCGGTTGGTTATAAGTTCCACAGATAAGCAATCTCAAAAGCAGGAGTGTGAGCACTTTTTATTCTGTGCTAGAGAGGAGAGTGTCTCTGAGGATCATCTGGGAGTAACTAAGGACTCTTCAGAAAGACAGGCAAGACTTCCCTTAGTATATTGTGCCTTTTTGCTGACCTGCTCCATATACCTAAAGTCCATGGTAGATCCTGAGTCTAGAGAACCTTCACTAAAAGAAAAGGAGGGTGTGGGATTCCCAGAAACTGTCTTCCACTCGGACAAGGAAGGCCAGTGCCCAATGGATTGGAGCCAGGATTCCCTTGTTAACAGGAGCCATGCCTGTCAACATAAGCTTCAGTTATCTGGCCCTTACGGTGGAGTCTCTGGCTGTATAACTCTGTGTCAGCAATGCTGCTGCCATGGGAGCTCCTTCCAAGGTGACACTAGGAAACTACTCTCCGAGTCCATCCTCAGCAGTTGAGACGGTGACAAGTTAACTGAAAAGCCCCCTTAGCTTCTTCCTCTTGACTTTCAACAACTGAGGTCTCTGCATAGGGCCTGAAGAAACCTAGAAAAAAAGGAATCCAAGTTAATAGAGGTTTTGAACAGTTGCACTTAAGTTAGGAAAAGAATTTCCGTGCTCCCATGGCTCTGGCTAAGAAGGGTGACTGACGCAGGGGTTTTGAGGTCCATGTCAGGCTGTGAATCTGAAGGAAGAGTCTATGCAGGAGAGGCACGCCACATCCCTCTTCCCCTAGGGAACAACTTCATAGACCATCCCTGGAAGTGCAATAAGGCTGAAAGGGAGCCAAGGTCCATCATTCAGAAGAACTGCAGAGAGACAACAGCAAGGGGAGATGGAAAAGACCATGACTCTCCATCCAGAAATCCACAATCCACAATTTGGACACCAGGTCACAAATATTGCCCCATGTTGGGTTAAGGCAGGGTCAACTAGGTGACAAGTGCAGGGACCACCAGCTTGGGAGCTATAGTTGCAGATTCTCCCAACTCTTTTTTTCTTTTTAAATATTTATTCGTTTATCTGGCTGTGCAAGGTCTCAGTTGTGGCATACGGGATCTTTAGTCTTCATTGCGGCACACAGGATCTTTAGCTGCAGCCTATGGAATCTTTCAGTTACAGCAAGTGGGGTCTTCAGTTGCAGCATGCAAACTCTTAGCTGCAGCATGTAGGATCTAGTTCTCTGATTCTCTGATCAGGGATCTGACCTGGGCCCCCTGCAGTGGGAGCGAGAAGACTTAGCCACTGGCCCACCAGGAAATTCCCCAGACACTCTCAACTCCTGAAATGCTATCTAGGAAGCTGCTCATGACTTACTGTGGGCTCTGTCTCAGGTCCTGGGAGGGATGGTGTTGAAGAGCCTGGCTCTTCTAGCTGGTTCAAAAGTTGGTTATCAGTTCCCCATGAGAAAGCACTGCTTGAGGTCTGGGGATCTCCTGAAACCAGAAAGATCAAAGGAAGATAGTGATAAATGCCTTCTTACCAGGAAAGTATTAGCATTTACCAAGCATTCTGATAAAGGCCTGGCCTTGGTTGTTGTGGTTGTTTAGTCACTAAGTCATGTCTGACTCTTTGCAACCCCGTGGACTGTAGCATCCCAGGCCCCTCTATCCAAGCCTTGGTACTAGTATGTAAACAGACACAAATTAACTTCCAATTAACTTTTGGAAAGCTGTTTCTACTGTGAAGGTCCTCCAGGCCAATTGTAACCACGTAGGACAAGAGTTTCTGTGACTCAAAACAGCTAACTGTTCTCCATATTGCCTGCCACATCTCAGGTAGGGGGATTAACTTTTTTTCCTGGTTCTCTGATTCTCCATTGGGTGGCATCACTGATGCAATGGGGATGAACTTGGGCAAACTCCAGGAGATGGTGAGGGACAGGGAAGCCTGGTGTGCTGCAGTCCATGAGGTTGCACGTGAAGAGTTGGACACGACTTGGTGACTGAACAACAACAAAATTCTAAGCATGTAGACCAGTCCTAATAAAACTTTCTATAGTGATAGAATGAATACTTGTGATCTGTGCTGTCCAACCTGGTAGCCACTGGCCACATGTGGCTACTGAGCACCTGAAATGTACAAATGAGATGAGCTTTTCATTTTATTTAATTTTTATTTATTTACATTTAAATGGTTACTATTGCCTAGAGCTACCATAATGGACAGCACAAACCTAGACCCTAACTCTAACCCCAGGGAGACCAACACCTTTGGAGCTACCTACCAGCGTCATGATGCTTCTGTCCCACCTGGATCGCTTGTCTGGTGACTGCCATATACATACTCTGCAGATTTGTGACGAAGGGTCTTCCATCACCAACACTGCATGCCTCTGGTAGTTTCTACAGGGGAGAGGAGATTTTATCATGGGTTACATGGATTGCTAGAGAAAACCTCGATATCCCACTGGCAGAACTGGCATCAACCCCAAAAGAGTTTATATACAGAAGTTAGATCCAATATGGGGCTTCCCTAGTGGCTCAGTTCAGTTCAGTCACTCAGTCCTGTCTGACTCTTTGTGACCCTGGGGCCTGCAGCATGCCAGGCTTCCCTGTCCATCACCAACTCCCAGAGCTTGCTCAAACTCATGTCCATCAAATTGGTAATGCCATCCAACCATCTCATCCTCTGTCGTCCTGTTCTCCTTCTGCCTTCAATCTTTCCCAGCATCAGGGTCTTTGCTAATAAGTAAATTCTTTGAATCAGGTAGCCAAAGTATTGGAGTTTCAGCATCAGCATCAGTCCTTCCAATGAACATTCAGGACTGATTTCCTTTGGGATTGACTGGTTTGATCCCCTTGCAGTCCAAGGGGCTCTCAAGAGTCTTCTCCAACACCACAGTTCAAAAGCATCAATTCTTCAGTGCTCAGCTTTCGTTATAGTCCAACTCTCAATCCACACATGACTACTGGAAAAACCATAGCTTTGACTAGACGGACTTTTGTCAGCAAAGCAATGTCTCTGCTTTTTAATACGCTATATAGGTTGGTCATAGCTCAGATGGTAAAGCTATGGTTCAGATGGTAAAGAATCCCCCTGCAATACAGGAGACCAGAATTCGATCCCTGGGTCAGGAAGATCCCCTAGAGAAGGGAATGGTTACCCACTCTTTTATTCTTGCCTGGAGAATTCCACGGACAGAGGAGCTTGGCGGGCTATAGTCCATGGGGTCGCAAAGAGTCGGAAATGACTGAGCATCTAACACACCAAGTCCAATACAGACATCATAGCCAAACCCATTGCAACTGATATAAAGACCTCTTGGGAGGTCATCTCTTCTGAAAGGCAACTCCAAATGAATACTTTTTTTCTCTCAATACTTAAACATCTATTATGCTTCCCCATGAATACCTCATAGGTATGTAGGCTCTTTCCTCTAAAAGGATAACCAACCTTTCAGAGAACTTTCTTAGAAAATCACATTCTTTAAATTATCCCTGAGTTGTAAATTACTATTTTATTTATTTATTTATCTAGCTGCATCTGGTCTTAGTTGTCATGTGGGATCTCCCATCGTAGTGCATGGACTCTCTAGCTGTGATGCACACCAGCTCAGCAGTTGCAGTGCACAGGCTTAATTGCTGCATGCCATGTAGGATCTTAGTTCCCTGACCAGGGATGGAACCCCCATACTCTGCATTGCAAGGAAGATTGTTAATCACTGGACCACCAGGGAAGTTCCCAGACTACTATTTTAATCAAATTTACTCCATAACTTCTACACAGGAGAGAGAAAAAGAATGAAATCAAGGAAAGAAGAAAGAGAGCAAAATGGAAATGACAGACTGAAAGACAAGAACAAATTATGCAGCTATGATGTTCAGTCAAAGGAGATAGGAGAAACAAAGTTTACAAAGTTTGGAGGCTTGCTTGCCATTTTACATTACTTATGCAATCCCATTGTGCTTTACTATAATCCATGAACTCACAATAGGGGTGATATTCCGTGCCCCCACCCCCCCTTCCAGGGAGGAGAAAATTTGCTCTTGGTGGGAGGGGTAAAAAAATCTTACTCTTTTAATGTATATGGCACAGATACACAAATATACATAAACAGAGTTTTGGTATACCCGTGGTATTAAAATTTCCCTAGAGGGGATAATTAGGGGAAAATGTCTTAAAAGGTTCCTCTGGAAGTTGATAATGAAAAAAAGTTGAGAAACCCCGCCATAATCACACCATTTTATCTGTTTCCTTCATTATGGAAGGAACTGTGAGTTTATATACACAGCAAAATGTTTTGCCTAGTTCAATTTTCATACACTTGGCTGAACTGAGTTTAAGTAATGGCTGAAAACTGAAGAAAGTGCAATCAAAATGAGATGAAAGAGTATGGTGTCCAGTGGACCTAAACCTGACTGTACTTTAGAATCTTGGAAAGGGCCCAGAGCCACTTCATCTGTCCTTGTGCATGCCGATTGTCATGGTTCTCAGCCAGGTTAGCAGGTCTTGAAGGAAAGCCATGCCAGCAGCTCACATGGGAATGAACCCAAGAATCCTGGATTGCCCACATCGCACATCGAGGGCACTTCTGTTGTGCTATGAAAGCATGCATTTTTGCAAACCCACGGTGGGAGAAGGATGGCAGAGAGAAAGTGGGAGAAGCAGCGAAGTAGTTGCTGAACCATGGTCAACATTACACAGCTCTTTCCCCCAAGCATGGTGGTAGCTGAAAAACTGGTTGATTCCAGGAAAGATTTCCACTCCATAGATTTCTATTCCAACCCAACTTGCAAAAAAACTGTGTCAGTCTTGAACTTTCACTGGAAACCACAGACAGTGAATCAGGAGCCCTGAATGCAGACTTTGCTTCCAGCAGCAATCACATTCAGAGTGCAACGTCCTCTTCAGCAGCATTCCCTAAGGAATGAACTGAAACAGGTCATGGACCTCTGCCTCACCTCATTCTCCTTCCTAAGTTCAGCTCTCCAACCCCAAGCCATCTCCTCCAGCAGAAAGTCCTCTATCTCATGGCCAGAGAGCTTTGACAGCAAAGAGAGAAACAGCTGTTCTCTGTCCTCACATCTCATATCTCTGGGATGTCCCTTCATGCTGCTCAGGAAGTGTGGCCTCTCTTAGAGTCACCCACACATGGCTGGGTGGGCACTGTGCTGTCTGTACAAAAAAGCCAGCCGGAATCTAGGCAGTCCACGGGGGCATCTCTTCCTGCCCTTTCTACAGAACTAAACAGACTCATACAATTTCCAGAGTGACCTTTAACCAGTGCATGTATTTAGTCTCAAAATAAAGTGCCAGAAATAAAAGGCCGTTCAAGCTATTGCTGTCCTGGAACTAAGTCCAAATCCAGAACCTGTATCTTAGCCCTTCCTCCATCCTTCCCCTTCTCAGAGAGATCTGATCCTGCAGCTGCTGCCAAAGGTCATCCCATCTGAGTAACCCTTCTCAGAAAAGCACTAGGAAGAGAACACATATTTACTATATGCTAGACACTGTTCTAGGGCTTCCCTGGTGGCTCAGCTGGTAAAGAATCTGTCTGTAATGCGGGAGACCCTGGTTTGATCCCTGGGTTGGGAAGATCCCCTGGAGAAGGAAATGGCAACCCACTCCAGTATTCTTGCCTGGAGAATCCCCACAGACAGAGGAGCCTGGCAGGTTACAGTCCATGGTGTCACAAAGAGCTGGACACGACTGAGCGACTAAGCACAGCACAGACACTGTTCTAAGGATTTAAATGTTCAACCCATTTTGTCTTATTCACTGCTATCTCCCTGGCACCTAGAATAATCTGGCTCATAGGAGCGGCTCAGTAACTATGTGTGAATGAATGGACATGGTGGGCATGAGGATGACCCTACCCTGCTGAGCAGTTACCCAGTCACAGCTAGTAACTGGTGGGACAGGATTAGAATCCAGACCATGAGTCTTCAGGGCCCTCACATATAACAACTACCCTAGGGACTTCTCTGAAGCATAGAGTTTTAATCTAAAGGACAATACAACCTTCCCTAGGATTACAGGCCCTTAATTCCTGGCATCACAGATCATCTGTATATACTCCCTTCCAGCTCAGAAACAAGATCCCTTGGGGGACAAGGGAAAAAAAAAAAAGGGGAGCAGATAACAAGGAGGCAACTGGCCCTACCTGGAACCCTCAGAAGGCTGAAGGGTCATGCCCATAATCCTGTTCTATCTGTTCCCCATCATCACAGATTCCTTGGGTATCATTCTCAGAATATGAGAGGGAAGAGGCGGTGAGGCCTGAGCCTGGGAAGGAGAAACATTATTTCCCTGGGCAGGACAATGGTAGGGGTGAGCTGGGGCAAGCAGCAGAGATCAAAGGGAGAAGCTGGAGTCAGGACTAAGAAAAGCAAACAGCAGTGCCCCCTGCTATAGTACACTTGAGCCAGGAGCAAGGTGTACCAGCCACAAGCGGGTCACTGCCCAGAATGGGGAGGGGAAGAAGAGCCAGGTCAGTCTACTATATAATGTGCTCATCTGATTAGTTCAGAATCAATCCTACTTGGCAAAAAGGCTACTTAGATTCTATCATGAGCCAGTTACTACAGGAGTGGGGGAGGAGAAGTGGATGCACCAGTCCGTCCTGCCTCAGAAAAAGGACAGAGTTAGTACAAAGATAAATAAGTCAGAGGCCCTGCCTCCAAGAGTTTATAGTCACACATAGGAAAGAGGCAGATTCAGGTATCCCCCACTTTTTGTAAATTTGCCTTCTGCCACTTTGCTTTTGGCTTCCCCAGTGGCTCAGAGGTAAAGGGTCCACCTGCAAGGCAGGGGACATGGAGACACAGGTTCGATCCCTGGGTTGGGGAGATCCCCTGAAGGAGGAAATGGCAACTCACTCCAGTTTTCTTGGGAAATCCCATGGACAGAGGAACATGGTGGGCTACAGTCCATAGGGTCGCAAAGAGTTGGACATGATTCAGCAACTAAACAACAACTTTGCTTTTAGGAAAAGCCTATATTAGTACCTGTTTTTGCTAACTAGAAGAATCCAAAAAAAGATTTTCATTTTTACGAAGAAAGGTAATTGCTTCTTCACTTTACACCATTTCAACTTATGAAAGGTTTCATAGGAATGCTCTTACTTTCAGATAGAAGGAACCTGTATGTGTTTTTTTTTTTTTTCTTTCAGGCATTATGCTATAAGGGAGTTATAAACAAAGAGCAATAAGAACCCAGCGAAGAAGAAAGGGACAAAGTCTCACTGAGAGTCCTGCAAAACACTTCAGAGGTGGTGAAGCTGAGTTAAGCCTTTGCAAGGTTAGACTTTATAGTAGAAATATTTGAGGCACGAAGGTGTGAAAAGATAGGCCAGGTGGGCATGTGCTCAGTCATTCCGTTGTGTCCGACTCTTTGCAACCCC